GCAGGCCGGGGCACCGGGGAGGGGAACGCAGGTGGCTCTGGTTCGCGGCCGCACTTCTCCCGCACGCCTACCTTGGAGCGGGCGAGGCCCTGGAGAGGACGCGCAGAGGTGTCAGTAAAGCCAAGGCCTCAGTTATTCGGGAAACTGAGCGTTTGGCTTCACTGCCCAAGCGAGGAATGAGCCGCGCTGGACAAGATATGGCATGGTTCGCTGCGGTTAGCGATTATCTCCTTGTTGGAAAGAGCTGCTGTTAGACCCCGATAAATGTGGTGCTTCTCGCTAAGCTCTGATGGTAAGCAGGGCATTGGATTCCAGCGAGTTTGATTAGCAAGGCGGTAGGCAGTGAGTCACAACTTTGAGTCCTCATTCCTCAACTCCTGCCTCTCCAAGCAAAGTTGTGTGCATGCTTCTGCGATTTTGAGGGGATGTTAATGATGGCTATCCTTTTAGGGCTCCAGAAACGGGGGAGGGAGCTGTGCATGAGCCATTACTGTTGTGGTATTCCAAGAGAAGTTTTACATAGACTCTCTTTTTGTAAGCAAACTTTACGGAAAGGCTTTGCCTCCGTCCTCAAAGGGTACTGACAAACCGACTTACCCCCCACCCCGCATTAGTAAGTGACCATGAACATGCTTTCAGTCACAGTTCTCCCTCTTGAGTTTATGAAACTACTCTTTCAGGTATTATATGTACTTTAGTTTATCATACTTCCTTAAGTACCTGTAGCAGGCAAGCTCTTATAAGATTACATGAGCTTATTTTAGAGCCAGTGACAGCTAATTATCCTGATTACTGGGTTGCTACTGCATCTCTTGCTGACTTGAAGAAAATGTTTATTCGTTCACAGTGTCCGTGGGGAGCCCCTAACACAACAGCAATATCATGTTCCCTTGCTGATGTAATGAGTGAACAGCTGGCAAAAGAGCTGCAGCTGGAAGAAGAAAATGCTGCTTTTCCAGAAGTAGTTGCGTAAGTTTTAAGTCCTGGATTAGTGATTTCTGTAGTTATGAAGCCATCTTCTATCTCTCGTGCTTTCCCCTACCACATGCTTAATGTGTTGTGATATAGTAAATTCTTTGCCTGTTATCTCTTAACTCTGCTTCTTCAGGTCTTCTTCAGTGAAGATGGCTTCCCCAGTTAAAACTCTTCCTTAGATTTTCTTCTCTGTCACACTGCCTTCTTTCCTGATGGTGTTTGGGTTTTTTTGGTTTTTTTTTTTTTTCCTTCAGTTTTGGGTGCTTTACACTAGTCTCTGTAAGCTTAATTTTGAGAAATGTTGTCAGGAATGTTGTTGCTTGAAGTTTTCTTTTTTCTTCTATTTCAGAGACTTGTTAACAGTGTATGAAGTTATTTTGAGAACTGTCAGGTGTATCACCTGTTTCTCCCTAATACTTGGACGTTCTAAACTCATACATGTTTTGCTTATGGTCTTTTTTCTGTGAAACAGCTAAAGCAACACTGTGTTTATTTTTAAATCTGTTTTTATATGTTCATTTGTAAAATATATACATATATATATATATACCTGTATGCCTTCTTTCATAAAGGGCATCTTAAAAATAGAGCCTAACTCTTCTTATGGAATAGTAAACAACTAGAAGTTTAAGTTGTATTTGCATTGTAAGGGAGTAGCACAGAGAAATTAAGTCATGCTCTATTAATATTTAGTGTTGGGTTGCGGGGGGAGCAGACAGTTGAGATCCATTAATTTCTGTGCAGCTGTGCATGAGGTCTTCGGTATGAAAATGTATAAATGGTCTTTGACTAAATGGTATAAAGCAGTGTTTCTGTTTAGATTATTGTAACTTTTAAAATTTCTGCTTAATTTTACATAGTGTTGCTGAAGGACCGTTTATTACAGGAGAAAATACTGACACTTCTAGTGACCTAATGCTAGCTCAGATGCTGCAGATGGAATTTGACAGGGAATATGATGCACAGCTTCGGCGTGAAGAGAAGAAGATCAATGGAGATAGCAAAGGTACCCTCATTAGAAGAAGTATTTTTGCTTTGGAGATATTCTTGGCATTCTGCTTAAGTTGATAGAGCTGTGAGGAAGTAGCAAACCCCTGATAATCATGGGCATGCTTATTTCTTTTGTTTCTCAAGTCTCCATATCCTTTGAAAACTATCGGAAGGTGCATCCTTATGACAGTGACAGCTCGGAGGATGAAGTCGATTGGCAGGATACCCGTCATGATCCTTACAGAGCAGGTATGTGGCAGTTTTTAACACCACAATTTCTTTGGTTAATAGACCATGTAAAATTGGGTCACCTAATTGGGAGGTGCTATGCAGGAAGTTAGGTGGGTAACTTCAGGCTTCTGTCTGGCAGTATATTGGCTTTGGTGGCTGGATCTGGCAAAACAACTATTGCACGTGGCAAGTACTGCTGGGATATGCATGTCTGTCATGTATATTTGGCTGAGTTATCTGCACATGATACTGAACATTCCTGTCTTTAACACACCAAAAGTGTGTCTGACACCCCAGAGAAGACAGAAGTAAGTCATTACACAGCAAAAGAAGCTGTCATCTTTAGGATAAGAAAAGACTGCATTAAGATCATACAATTGAAGTCTTTAATTCCATTTAATAAATAAAATTGTGACTTCCATGGGCATTGTGGAGCCTTTATGAGCATTAGTTAATGTTTTTTTACATGTAAAGTTTGATTAATTTATCTTCCTGCTGCCAGATAAACCTACTACTACACCTAGAAGGGGCTTCATAGGAAAAGGAAAAGACATTACTACTAAACATGATGAAGTGGTATGTGGAAGAAAGAACACTGCTCGCATGGAAAATGTAAGCAAAAACTTGGGGAAACTTACTTTGTGTGTAAAACTGGAATGCTGTAATTCAACAAAAGAACTAATGCTTGGATGTTTTGTTTAATAATAGTTTGTAAATGACCATGATTCAAGAACTTGCACAGAACTGTTTTGGCAAAACAAAATTATCAACAAGTTTGATATTGGCAAATAAAACACCGAGACTATTTTGGAAAAGTGTAACTGTTGTGTAAATTAAGTTTTTATGCTTTTTAAAATTAGTTTTGCCTGATGAGCCAAGTAACTAACGTTCAACTTGCAGCTTTTCAGTCATAGTACAAACTTTCTGTTTTCTTTAACTTAACTCGTGCAACTTCTGCAAATAAGGAAGTGCTGCAAGTGCTATTTTTACAGGATGTTAGGTAATCTCACATCAATTTAGGCAGAACTTCAAGTTCTGAGTTTAGAGCAGTATGGTTTTTAATGTAGTAACAGCGTTACACAAAGTGGGTTTCACATGGGTCCTAATCTACCCTCGTTTTTTTTCCAGATTAGAATGAGAAATTTCTGCTTGTGCCAACTTTTGGTGCCTGCTAGTAACAATGCTTAATTTTCTATTATTTCTATTTGTAGTTTGCACCTGAATTCCAAGTTGGGGATGGAATTGGGATGGACTTAAAGCTGTCAAATCAAGTCTTCAATGCCTTAAAGCAACATGCGTACTCTGAGGAGCGTCGAAGTGCCAGACTCCATGAAAAGAAGGAGCATTCCACTGCTGTATGTTTTTTAATCAAGTTTCTATATACTTTTTATCTGCTGTAATAGCTGGACACAGTTTGAGTAATTTCTTGAAACATTCCATTTTTAGTGAAACAGTTAAACATTACTGGAGGAGATGTATTAGCCAGCTCCTACTAGAAAAAGGCTGTCTTTATTTAAGCTGCATTACTGTGAGAACTAGATCAAAATAAGACCAAGCAGCTTCCATTTTTTTTCCTCTTTTTTTTTTTTTTTCTAAACTTGTCTCTTTAATAACTACAATGAATAAACTGCCTAGATGTTATTTATAGAAACCATCCAGAGGCTAATCCTCTGCAGCTGAAGCATGCGGATCCAAATATCTCTCTTCATAGCAAATTTCAGGAAGATGAGGTGTCCAAATAAACTCTGACTTAATTTAGGAAGTCAGTTGATATGCTTTATGGGTGAGTTTAGAGCAGGGCCTCTGGTAATGCCTGCTGTGGACTTCAAATTTGAGCGTTTTGCTTTATTGTTTCTGATATATAAGGAATATAATACTTGGGATATTTTGATTCATGATTTGTAAAGACTTCTTGAAAACACTGTAGAAAGTGCTCTTGAGCTACAGTCTGTACTTTACGTCAAACTGCTAAAATAGTGTATGTGGTACACAGCTGTTAAGGTACCCGAGAGTATTAAATCTTAAGATGACAGTGCTGCAGCAGTTTGGCTTTGTTTCATCTGCTTGCTTTGGTTTAGTTGTGGTTTGTTTGTTTGTTTGGGTTTTGTCCCCTCTCTATCAATTGAGAGAATGCTCTTAATACATTATTCTTTCCACCTAGTAGAACACTTGCAGTATATAAATACTCTAAACCCACTGTAAAGCAAAGAACTATTTTAATGACTAGAGTATTCATTTCTTGTCTGTAGGAGAAAGCAGTGGATCCTAAAACACGTTTACTTATGTACAAGATGATCAATTCTGGGATGCTTGAGACTATCACAGGCTGCATCAGCACAGGAAAAGAATCTGTTGTTTTTCATGCATATGGAGGAGAGTAAGTATATTTGTTACTGACAGTAGCTGTAAGTAGCAGAGATGTTTTTAAAAGAAGAAACCACAAAAATATTTAAAGTTTGTATAAATGTACTTGCAAATAATAATACAAAAATCTGAAAACCAAATGGTACCAATTGTAAAGTAAAAAAATTCCCACTTCAGGACAAATCCACTGTAACTTTCTGTGGAAAAATATGCACTGCTTTTATAAGAAAGAAACCTTGGCATTCCGAGGAACTCTTTTCTACTGACCTGCCCCAGGCTACAGAGCTGTCATGATCATCTTAGGCTGCCTGAAGATTGTCTTGTCACGCAGACTGCTGAATTATCAGCTCCATCTGTGCAGTTCAGTGGAGGTGCTGTTTTTACTTCTGTGTTACCTTGAGAATAGTGTTGTAATGCTGTTCATTTGCAAGTCATGCAAGAGTCCTGTTTCAAAGACTACCACGCTGGAAGGACTGTGGTATGTTGGTAGTGAATGCAGTGCATTTAACTCAATTCAGACTATTTTAGAAAGAACTGATAAACCCTAATACAGGTAATCTAGGGATGTCGAGAGAGGGATAAGTTGGGGGTGGGGAGAAAAGATGCACCATGTCTTTGTGGTGCTTAAGAAAACATTGTGATACTACCATTATTTTTCTACTGCAAAATTTTTTTCACTTGTAATTTCTTGAAGCAAGTGCATCCATTAATAGAGCTGTTACTAGCTATGACATTTAAGTAAAGTAATAACAGATTAGGAGATGGAACCTATTTGATAAGCAACATATAATCTCAATGCCAAAACCTGAACATGTATATAAGCTTAACTGTAGAACTTGTATAAACTTAACTAGTATTGGCTTCCAAATTTGATAGAAAAGCAAATCTTATATTAAATATTGCTTTATCTTAGAATATTTCAAAAAATAAGAAAACAAACCTATGCATTTGCTTGTGAAGATGTGAATAGCTGACTTTGTTATATATTGGACTTTTTCCATAAGAAGTGCAACTGAAGATAAAGTTATACCTCCAGAATGTGCCATCAAAGTGTTCAAAACAACTCTTAATGAATTCAAGAACCGTGACAAATACATTAAGGATGACTACAGATTTAAAGACCGCTTTGGCAGATTGAATCCACGAAAGATTATTCGTATGTGGGCCGAGAAGGAAATGCATAACTTAACAAGGTAAGGAAAAAAAGGTGTAGATGCCAAATACCTGTTGGGTTTCCCATTTTCTGTTTAAGGAAAATATGTCTGGGTAGAAGTTTTGATTTGATTTTAGGCTAAATAATATACAACCTGGCACAGATTGAGTAAGCTGTTGGTTTCTTACAGTTTAATGAATTGGCAGCATTTTCAGTGATTTCATAGTAGAATTTATGAGCCTATGAAGCTAACAGGCTCTAACTATAAAAATGTTTTGTGGTTTGTTTTTTGTTTCTTGTTTTTTTTGTTCTTAGACCTGCTTGGGACTTAAGATCTGAATTTTCCTGTGTGAAATACTGTGAAATACATAGATTTATTCAGGTTTCAGTTGGCCTATTTCAATGACTTTTCAACCCTGGATCAAGTTTTTCACTTGGCTCTCTTAAGACTGAAAATGAGCAAGCACGAACTAGAACTGTAGGGTTTGGGGGGTTTTATATTGTTTTTCTTAATCAGTATCAATTTTCTGATCCACAGAATGCAAAATGCAGGAATTCCTTGTCCTAAAGTGGTTCTCCTTAAGAAACACGTCTTGGTTATGTCTTTCATTGGCCAGGATCAAGTCCCAGCTCCTAAACTAAAGGATGTAACACTTAGTAGTGAAGATATGAAAAAGGCCTACCATCAGATTCTTAATGTAAGACAATGCTGATTTCTCCTCCAGTTCTGGATTGTGTTTTCTTTTAGGGGAATAACTTAAAGGACAAATCAGCATTTATTTATTTTTCAGGATGCTTGCACCACTTCCAAGAGATGGAGTCCAAAGGCTTATTTTGCTGCTGTTTAATGTGTGACTCAAAATAAATAAGAAATTATGCCCTTAAACACAATAAATTTAATCTTAATCCCAATGGAAAATGTGCTGGAACTTGATGACAAACAGATATTTAGCAGCAGAGGAATTATGAGCAATAGTCCTCCTTTTATGGAAGCAATATGTGGTTTAGGAGGTTCTCTGAAGTCTGTCTGGGTATACCAAATACTTTATTCATAATGCTTAAGCACTCTCCAGTGGATAGCCCCTTCCCCACCCCTCTTTTTAGCAAATCTAGAAATCGGAGAATGAATCAGAATATTGTATGGTAGATACTTTAATTTCCTATTACCTGCTGTAATTGTTTCAAACATGTACTTGCTAACTGTCCACTTGCTATTACTTTGTAAACCAAATCAAACTGACTAAACAAACCAACCATCCATCCCAGCAGCTTGATAATACAAATGGTCTGTGCCTCAGATCTTGGGACCAGTAGAGCAACACAGCCATGTTTTAAGTGAATATGCATACTAAGTTAGGATTCAGTATCTAAAACTGTGAGACTTCTTTCCTGTGTGATAGGGGTGAGAATGACAGGTATATTTTGAAAATGTGTTTATCTGTCTCATGCGTATGGACTGGTTGGCAGAGCTGATGTGAGTTTACCAGACTGATTGTTCTGACTTGCCAAAGCTAAGCTCAGTGATAAAAGCTTAAGTTTGCTGGCAGTTTACCAAATCTGCGACTTCCCCGTATGGAACTTTACTGAAGACTTAGAGCTAAAAAAAACAAGACGTAAATTGGGTGGGTGATTGGGGAAATAGTCATGCAAATGGTATTTATTTGGAGTACAGCATACTTGATTCATTAATTTGATTCCTTGCAGATGATGCAGCAGTTGTATAAGGAGTGCAACCTGGTCCATGCTGATCTGAGTGAATACAACATGCTTTGGCATGATGGGAAGGTGAGCTTATCCTTAATGTGGGAAGGAAAGGTTTCATCGAATGTGAAATGTTTAATTCCAAGTGAATTGTTATCTCTCTGTGACTACAGGTCTGGCTAATTGATGTCAGCCAGTCTGTGGAGCCAACCCATCCTCATGGACTTGAGTTTTTGTTCAGAGACTGTAGGAATGTTTCACAGGTAGGATCTCTTAACCTGACTGTCTTCTCTTATGTGGAATCTTTTCCAAGATAAAATCAATTCAGATCTAACTAATAAACAGCCAATACCACTCCATTAAAAAAT